TGAATTTTTGATAATGGTACGGTGTGATTCCATGTGTTGTGTATTTTTGATACGTTGAACTGTGAGTTTATGACATTAACAATACATGACTAAAAATTTAACTTGAATGGTCTGTAGTGCATTCTTTTACCAAAGGTTTTTATCGCGTGTAGCATTTGTTTTATTGCTCATGGTGTATGAATTCATTTTGAAGACTTGATCATAACTTACCTGGTCATTAGATTTTATTTTATTTTGGTTATTGTCAAATTTAAAACCATTTTGAAAGTCATAAAATTTGAGGAAAACTCTCAAACTAAACTGGAGAAGATCGGTTTAGTTGATTCATATTTAATATCACATTTCAACTAAAACCAAATCATTATTTTTTTTCACTGTACTGTATGTCTAAAATGTAAAAACGGGAACCAAAGCAAACGGTGAATATGCCCATACTCTACATTTTTGTTGTTTCAGACATGAAACTAACCTTACATGTGTAAGTTAAAATTTGTATGCCCTTAGTGTCTCAATTTCCATTTAGAACATTTTTTTCCAACTGCTTTGTTCTCTTAAAAACTTGTTTTCTTTTTTATGTGATAATGTAACCATTTGATTCCCTATTATGTACAGTGGTGGCTTTTCTTATCTATGCTTGGAGAGCTGTTCTATTTGAATTGTCAAACTGGAAGAATGCTGCATTGGCAATTGCTCGTTTTATAGGATATCTCTTCAAATACGCATTTGCTATAGTCTACCATTTCATAGGAAGTCCAATCACGTTTTCAATTAGATGCATGGAGGATTTATTTTACACAGTTCGGGCTTGTTACTCTTGGATAATTGGCAATGCCCCTGTACCAGACCTGACCCTCATCATTGTGCTAGCATCAACTGTTTTAGCCATTGGTGAAGCTACTGTACCAAACTGCATCAACAACCAACCTTATGTTTTGACTGTATCTGGTCTTATTGGCTATGCTGCTGTTAGAGGATATATATCTGAACCTTTGTTCTGGACCCTTTTGCTTGGGGTGTATGCCTTTTCAAAATTTCTCAAGAAGAGAGATGATGTTTCAGCTGCAATGCCAGTGGCAGCCGTGCTTGCTGGTGTTGGGGAGCCTTGGGTTAGAGTTTTGGTGATTATTTCATACACGGCCTTAGCCATATATCAGTATTCCAAAATGCCTTCAGAAGGGAAAGAAGCTGGAGAAGATGAAACAAGTGAGATGAGGCTTCCAATTCCACTTCTTCTTGCAGCTTTCGCTATTGGTTTGCGAGTTGCTGCTAAGTGGGCTGGGTACAGGCACTTGACATGGATGATTGTATGATTACTGGTCACTAGCAGTGTATCTTGTCCAAAGAAGAATGAATTTTGGTGATCTATAAAGTTAGGTAGGGTATGATATAGATGGACAGAGGGTGTTATTCTGTTCTACATGATGCAGTTATTGTAGTGTTCTTTGCATGCTTTAAAATGAGCAGTGAATCCCTAGGTTGTGCCTGTGCATATAAGCTTCTTGTCAGATTTCAGAAAATGTACTATGCAATTTTGATTTGCGGCCAGTGCAGCCTAAATCTTGATCTTTAAGTTTGACTATTTTTAAGGAATTAATGGAATGAAATGCAAGAAAAAAAGGAATGGATTAGGAAAGGATTTTGGATTATTGGCAAGGCATTTATAATATTCGGTCAAGTACAGTTATTTCTTTATAACTTTTTTTTATTCAATGATACTTTAATATGCATGATTTAAGAAACTCATATGCTTTATGCATGATATATACACACACGTATATAAGAAAATTAAAAGAAAGAAGTGATAGAAAAGGAAGAAAATGAAAGATAGTTATGATTCTTAAGTTATGTAGTAAGAAATAAGCTTTAAATATATTTTTGTAATTAGACGTGAAATTGGAATTTGTATGTTGTCAAACTTTGATATATTTGTTGAGAGGGGAAGCTCTCTCAAGATTGGTAAAAGTATTTTTGATCATGAATTATATAAAGTGTTCTTTCTTTGAGTACTAAAATTGTTAGAATAGACTTAAAATTAGGTTTAATGTCTCAATACGTCCCTATTTTCATCCAGAATTTGAAATAGGTCCCTTTCTTTTTCGGCATCTCAATTGAGTCCTTATTTTTGTAAAATTGAATCAAATAGGACCTTTCCGTCAAATTGAAATGACGCCGTCATTATTTTCACCCAGAAATAAAGCATATTCTTCTTAACGGCGTCATTTCAATTTGACGGAAAGGTTCTATTTGTTTCAATTTTACAAAAATAAGGACTCAATTGAGATGTCGAAAAAGAAAGGGACCTATTTCAAATTCTGGGTGAAAATAGGGATCTATTGAGACATTAAACCCTTAAAATTATATAGGAAAGAGACTTAGATGTTCAATTCATGTCTGAAAGAGTCTTAGTTGTATATAATATCAAATTTGCATAAATATGTTTATATTAATTGATTAAGAAGTGTTTGTAATCTGTTAACCCATATCAAAAGCATAACATGGTTGTACTATCTGTTCTAATCGTATAAGATAATAATATAATTGATTAAAACAAAAGGTTGGGTTATATATATATATATATATATATATATATATATATATATGTGTGTGTGTGTGTGTGTGTGTATGATCTAACTTGTTTCTAGTATGATTTACTTTGCATCCTTTTTGACAAAACGTAAAAGAAGAACATAATAACACATCAAGAAGTTGTGTAAAACACATTCTTGGATAAATCCACCAACCACTTTGAAGAATCTCAAAATTTTTTATTGTGGATTAACAAAAAAATTTAAAGCCTTTTTATTGAGCTTCAAAGGTCTTATTGCATTTGTTTCTCATTTTTTTGTTAAAGTTGTGGATTCTTGGACAATTTTATACCATATGTGGAATATTCTCAAAAGGGTTGAGATTATTAAGGATGACAACAAGTCAGACAAAAATAGTGTTTACCCACTAACCGATTCATAATAGCGAGTCGAACACATATAGTATCTCTCGATATCTGATTCATAATAGAAAATTGAACTTGTTACCTCTCTTGTTACTTGTCAATACCCATTTAATAAATACTCAGATTTTGAAAACCTGCAGAAATTTATGGATACATGTGGATATTTTAAAAAATTATAATTTTTTAAAATAAAATTATAAAAAATATTAAATATAATGTAAATTTAACTTAATAAAATATAAGTTTGATTTTAATTTTAATTAAATTTAATAAATATTAAATTTTAATTTTAATTTTTAATGGATAATAAAAATCTACATGTAAATATAATATATAATATTTACACCCGACTTAAAGTTAATAGTAAATTAGATAAATTATGTGTTACCTCTTATCCATATATATCAAATTGAAGTATTTATTTATTATTCATAACAAATTTTATCCATATATACCACTTATATTTATATTCCGATGATGTTTTCAAAATTGAGATACTTTCTACTCTTTTTTTAGGTATCATTCGGTTAAGTTAAATTATTAAACATAACTATTTAGAGATTGATATGAAAATTTTAAAATTGAGAAACTAATGATACTGTTTAAGAAATAATTTATTTAAAAAAATCTGCAAGCAATTATTATTAAAGTATTATATATTTTTTGAAATAATATTACTTTAAAAAAATAAGATATATTTAAAAAAAATGACTGAAAAATCAATATTCAAAACATTTATCATCAAAATAAAAATGATAATAAAATAAATTTTCCAACTCTTCTTTTCTTATATTATAATAGATTATATTATTTTTTTAAATATAAGAAATGAAAAATATAGTTTTTTTATTGAGTATTTCTCTAAGACAGAATTACTACATGACATTTGTTATTATTAATAAATATATATTATTTTTTAAATAATGTTATTTTAAGAAATAAAAGTAAATTTTAATATAAGATGATAAATATAATTTTTTAGTGACAATTTATTTTAAAAAAATATTATATGACGATTTTTTTTATATAACAGGTTAAAAATTTGTATTATTAATAAATATATAATATATTTTAAATAATGTTATTTTAAGAAATAAATGTAAAAAATATTTTTTTAAATTTAGTTGTATTAAATGAACGTTTAGAAAGTATAAAATGATAAAATTAAAAAAAAATATTAAAAACATAAATATTTTAATAAGTTATTAGGACACGTTAAAAGAAATAATTATTTATTTATTTTAAAAACCAATAAACTTTTAAAATATTATTTAAAAATACATTTAATGAATTAAATTAATTAACAAAATAGTTCTAACTTTAAATATCATTGATGTTTTAAAGATTGACGTGAAAATTTTAAATTTAAAAAACTAATAATACTATTTCAAAACTAAAATAATAATTTATAAGTTATTAAATGATAAAATTAAAATATATTTTCATTTTATAATAAATCAATTTAAAAATAAAATAAATAGATAAAAAAATATATAACTTTTAAGAGACCTATGATAACAAAATAAATGAGTATAAAAGTAAATTAAGTTGAATTAATAAAAAAGTAAATTAAATTGAAATTTATTTCTATTTTTATGTCAACTAATTTTAAAAATGAAATAAATGAATAAAAAAATAAAAAAATAAAAATAATTTCTATAAATTTCTGACAGGAAAATAAATAGAAATAAAAAATAAATTAACAAATGATGAAAAAAAACTTTTAAAATATTTATCAATAAAATAAATATAGAAAATAAAATATTTTATTTTCTTATAGATAATAAATATCATAGTTTTGAAATTATAAGATTGTAACGTACTAAACCAAGCCCAAACCTTACCCAAATATTTTTAATCAGATCGGGTCGGGTAAGTCTCACTCACAGAAATAGTACCGTTAGGCGAGAGAGAAATTTTAGGGTTTTGGTGCGCCTATATAATCCTCGCAGCGAACAGGGCATTGCAGCTCCGATTCAGAAATCTTCACCGCTATAGGGAAAATAGTTTCCAGCATTTAGATTTCTTCATTTTTCGTGAAGTATTACGTTTGCACGGTGCCTCCCGGGCATCTCTGAATCCACATGACGTGAACGCCCCGATGCACGTGCGAAATCGTCGCCGTTCGTGTTGCAGTTCATCCCCAATTTTCCACGGTTGATCTGTGTCAAAGTAACGGCGAAATTTCTCTTATGAATTCTCTCTCTTTTTTACGATTGTTGTGTTGAATGTTCCATTTGCCTTGCTATACCTTCAGCTTCTTTTCGAACACGTGTTCTCTGAATTCGAAGCTAGTCCTAAAGGCGCAAATCGAAACGCGGTTGTTTTTACTTGGTGCGAGGGTTTTTCCTTTGTTCCTTCGGAAATGATCGTTAAATAGCCATTTCGGTGGTGTAGTTTTATTTGCTTATATATTTTTATTTCTCGGCCATGATTATATATTATCCGCGCTTCTGAGTTTTCTCGATGAAGTCAATTTGGTTAAATATGGTTGAATTTCTTTATATGAGCCATGTTTTTTTATATATGAAAATTATATATTGATTTTATTTTAACAGTTTTAGTATCTAGCATATTCAATTTATGATTCTTTTTTCAATAAATGGCTATGAGGATATCTATTCAGCTTTATGCCAGTTCTGCTTCTGAAAATTTGTGATTGATAGAGCTGTTGTATATCTCTGAGCCTCCAGCAATTATCTTTGTTTTTTATTTTGTTTATTTATTGTTTTTTGTTTTCAACTACTGGGTATCTTTTATTGACATTGCTGATGATGATTTAATCCAACTTTATGAGATGCTGTGGAGCCAAGACCCTGTTTTCAGGGAGAACCTACTTGGTGAAGCTTCGTTCATATGATATCTTCGGATTTTACTGAGGCATTTTAATGAGAATTGAATGAACTTTATATTTTCCTTTGTTTCCTATAATTTATTGTTAAATTTGACTACAGCAACCAATGATTTTCCAATCCAACTTGTTAGAGGTTGTAGTTGATCCAAGACCCTGCTTCAGGGAGAACCTACTTGGTGTTACTATATTTCCTATGACAGCAACTATTTATCTGAGGTTGCTAATGTAGTTCATTTTTTAATTGTTTTTTTCTAGTTGTGTACATTGAGTTTCACTATACCCTCTTCTTATTTAATTAGTTCTGGGTCTGAAAAACTCATAGATTGAGTGTTGTCATCAGCTTCATCTCTGGTAACTCACGAGATAGGAGTTAAATAACAGCACTACATTTTTTTATTGTGATGACTTCACAATAAAAAACATTATTATTATCTTTTTATTGGCGAGGTCATGGCCTTCCACAGAAGTGTCTTAACATCAAGAAGTAAGTTCACATTTAAAAGGTTTATATGAATAAGGTCATGGCCTTCCAGTTAAGTGTCCTATTTATTGATGAAGTTCATCGTACATTGTAGAACTGGATATAAACCTTTTAAATGAATATATTTATTAATGAATATAGTATAACACAATTTGACATTAGACCAAAAATGTTGACTAACTCTGTGACACTGGACAACATAATGTCTGTCCGAACTTTTCAAATTTTGAACCTTGGTTTTCAATGAAATTAAAACAATGTAGGTTGAGGTGTAAAATTATATACCACTCAACACAAGTCAAGAAAATGATCAGGAAATTTTCAAGCTGGCTACTACTAATATAAGATATCAATGAAGGTCCTATATATTAAAAAATTCTTGCTCACTTTGTACAGATTGCGAGGTTGGAAGAGGAGTTCCATGGTGGATTCAAACAAGGAGTCATCAAGGATTAATATTTTATAAGTGTTTTCAAACTCTATATTATTATGCTATGCGAAAGGGTATCAATCACCTGGATTAATAATCGATCCATCAATATTGTTAAAGTGTTTTCAAACTCGATATATTATTATGTGACATTGTAATTAATTTTCAATTTTGTGTTACTATAATTGATAAACAACTTGAAATAATTGATTAATTGCGTCTATAGCAATTTTGAATTAACATTTATATATGGAGGTTTTGACTCCTTAAATTGAAAATAGGTTATGATGTGTTAAATTCTTGTGTTATGTTTTGTTTGGATTCTCGATAAATTCTTCATATTTTGTGTTTGGTAGTGTTTCTAATGTCGTACTTGTTAATCTAGTGGAGTGTTTTATAGTTTTTCTAGTGGTTATTTGTTGTGTGTTGGCAACAAGAGTTGATAACAATATATTTTTGGGTGATTAAAATGTGGAAAAGGCTAAAATTGCTTTATTTTCTTTTTCTTTATAACTATTAATTTCATATTAGTTTTCAAATTGAAAATGCCTTTAAAAGGCTATTGAAGTGGTTTAGGAGTAGTTATGGTAATCTTTATTATCCATTGCCGATGAGATTGATATCTTCCTGTGATATCTTTTTGAGTGTTCAAAACTAGATAAAGATTAATGGTGATATGAATCAGTATAAAATCTTTATGTTTTTCCTACTCTCGTCTGTATAACCATCCTCATTTTTTACACGAAACATGGTAAACATTTTATTCTAGTTAGCTTTCCTAAAACAAGATGCCCCTAGCCCATTTATGAATCTACTCAAGTTCATTGGAGAGAGAATTCACACCTATGACTATATTAATCTACTAACCATGTTTGTTATCGGTACAACATATTAAACATTAATAGTTTAATACATTCTCTTAGAAGTATTAACCTAATATGGTAATAAAGTTTGAAAATGGCCTCATTCAAGGGTTGAATTACTAGTGACTCAATCCAAACAAAAACTTTTGACCTCTTAAATCACTTTTTGGGAGGAAAATTGGTCTAACAATTAATGCAAGTACATAAAACCAAGTTTGACAAAAGAAGAGGTATACCATGATACTAAAGTTACTTTACCTTGGATGAACCCGTGACAAACTCCAACTAGGTCGACAATCTACTTAGTGCACTAGAGTAAGATGAGTACAAAACATACTCCCCAACAACATATCAAAGAAGTACTAACTCATAACTCTAATTTTTTTGCTTGAAGTCCAATAGATATGTTAGATATTCATGTGCCATAAACTCACTATTTCTTCCATAAGCAAAACTAATACTTCAAAGGAACAAAACACTCAGTGAAGAATGTTGCTAAACAATTGGCAAGAGGTCAACACAATAGTGAAAGTTGATTTTGTAAGAAATATCAAACTTATTGCATGACCTGCATGGTAATATGATTATGGTCGATAAGCCAATGATAATTGGAAAATATACATTAACTATACGGACATGAACCAAGCAAGTCCAAAAGGAGCACACCCGTAAATTAACTAGCTCATGACCAAATATGATGAGGCTTATTGACTTTATAAATACCTACTCTTAGTACAATCAAATTAAAACGCATCTTTATGATGAGGAAAACACAACCTCCATGATGAAAGGCTTAAAATATTATTATAAGGTAATGCCTTTTGAATTTAAAATTAAAGGTGCAACATACCAACAACTAATGGAAAACATGTTCAAAGAGCTCATTTACAATAAAAATCAAATGAAGGCTGATGACATGGTCATTAAATCGTCAATCACTAAAGATCATCCGAATAATCTCAAGGTGTTTTTCTAAGGTACACCAATATGACATGCATATAAACTTTTGAAAAATGTAATTTTGGTGTAGGTGACCATAAATTCCTCAAATTCATTATCACACAATGAGGAATATAAGTCAAATCTTGATAAATTTAATGTTATCCTATCTATGAAGGGTTTTAGTAACCTAAAAGAAGTCGAACAAGTTAATGATAACTTGCTTCCCAAAAGGTGGCAGGGAAAGAAAAACCCTCACGTGGAGGAAATATGATAAAAAGCTCATGCCAAAAACTTGAAATACAACCTATTAAAAACATTATTATAGTTAAATTGTTTTTCCTTCATTATGAAATGTTGCACTTCTTTTCCATTGCTATATTTTTTATCATTAATAAGGACTTTTCCTAACAAGCTTTTAACGAGTAACATTCTTAGAGTAATTTTTATTCTTCTAATAAATTTACCAATGATTCATTAAAGTCAACCTTATTTCTTTTATATTCAAAGTTATTAATTTATGGATAAAATTATATGACTAAAATATTTAAAGTTAAAATTATGTTCAAAGTCGTATATAAGATTTTGATTAAATTAATAAAATTGGATAAGATTTTTTCTTCTTTTAATAAATATGTTTATTATATTGTTCAAGTTAAAAAAAATCATTATTCATCAACCAGATGTCTTTGGACAAGTTGAAACATTCAGCATCCACATTAAAAGCAAATAACACAACTTCACACATTGCCTGCTTAAAATCTTCCTTATAACTAATAAAAGACAACTTAGTTATATCAAACTCCAAGTCAATCTTTATCTTGGATTTATCAACTTTCTCTTTTTGCACTCTTTAAGAAACCTCACTCTTTAACTTGTGTTTAACTTTTTCCTTAGTTGTTCAAACTACTTTTCTAGCATTTCCAACATTTCCATCTTGACTAAGACCATTATTCTTTGTTTTCACCTTTTATAATCTTTATTTTCGCCAACGAGGATTATTCTATCAAACACTCATTCTATTTGACTTTGGTCGATACAATAATGTCATGATAAATAACAATATTCTTTAACTCTTTACTTTATTTAATATTTAAACATTTTTGGTAGTTATCCATTTTAAAAAAGTGAGTGATCGTCAACACCTCATCGACATAACTTTGCAATGATTGAAGCATCTAATAAGGCTCAAAGTTTATAGTAAGCTAGCATAAAAAAGGCAAGAAAAACTAGTTCCACTAGCCTTAACTCAATTGGTTTTCATATTTACATGCTACAAAGAGTTTATGTTGGGTGTAAAAGTAGATACGAGACACACTCAAGAGACCTTCTTTGCTTTAGATAAACGAGCGTGAAGATCTTGGTCGAAATGTGTGGTTAATGGTTCAAGGATGAAACACTTAAGTTATCCACTAGGGAGAACACAATTAACGATCTTTGACATAACCTAGGAAAACTTTGAAGGTACTTCAATTAATGGGTTCAAGGAGGAAGCCTCACACTTATTTTTCTTTGATTGACCTTTTAAAATTGACAAAGGGCATTATTCAAGGTAGGATCCCTTAATCTTGACACATAATTACTTATAATCAAACCCTTTACCCATGACATATGCACAATAAGAAAAAAGATAAGGCATAAGAAATGGTAAAAGGAAAGCTTTTAACATTAAGAAAAATATATTACCTAAAAATTGAGTTATAAGATCTCGACATAAGACACTAAGAAAACCTTTGTTACTTATTATCTCAATCCTCTCCTCAATATTGAGTAATTGAGCCTAAATTTGAAATTATTTTGTCTCTCTTAGTGGAAGAAAAACTAAAAGTGTGGCTATGATAAATATAAAATAAAATTTGTATATCCTTGGAAGAACATTTGAATATAAAAGATTTGTGTTTAAAGTTCTTTAAGGATAAGGTATAAATGGTGAAAAATGAACCATATTTATACTTAACCAACTTTAAAGTCATGTTTTAGTTTTAAGAAAAACATTAATTTATTTATAGTTAGGATATGTAAAGATATTGCCAACGAATTTGGAATGTTTTTAGAAAAGTCAAACTATTTGAGTGAAATCGACTATAATGGTCATATATATGGCGGTCAACATCCAACACTTAAACTTGGAAATAGAAAAAATGATGTATAGTTTTTTAAATAGGTACTCGTACACAGAAGTGAAGTCAAACTTATAAAAGACAACCTTCTCAAGTACTTATGAGAGCTCAAAATCATAATAGGGTGAAACTTGTCTTTTCACCTACCCTAGACAATGTTTGACCTTCCTGTTACATTAATCTTTTGGGTAAGAGTTTTTTTGCTTTTACTTTTGATTGGGGTTTATGTTGACACTCTCCACCATGACTCTTTGATTAATATGAATCTCAAAGTAAATATGATTTTTATAGGGAATGATTATTTGATTATGATTCTTTTTTGGTCCATAAATTACATATGTCTCTCCATGAGAAAGAGTCCTTATGACTCTAAGGCCCTGTTCTT